ACAAACGGGCTAAGTAAACTGACCGAAGTTTAGGGTTTAGGGTTTAGGATTTCAGTAAATTGAACCATTTGAGCAAAGCTGAGGATTTAAGCGAATGGCTCCGTTCATGGGTCCTAATAAATTTCACTATTGCCAAAAAGCCTTCTAGACATGCGTCCATGACGACAGTCCGCCGCCGCCCAAGAACAAGAGTTTAGGAACTCTAAACCTTAAAAGGCGGAGCTGGCTCAGGGCGGGAGCCGCCCACACGGCGCAGAAGGGCAATGATAAAAAGGTGCGGCCGATAGGCCCCCGCTCTCGAAGGCCACAATGCGCGTGCTTGGCGGCCTCAACGCGCGCTCCGAGGCCGAAAACTATCATCGTCAATTTTGCATGCCCGTCCGGCTGGGGAACCGATCTCTTTGATCAAAGCAAACCCTAAACCCTAAATCCTAAACCCTAAACCCCAAATGGGACCCCTAAAATGGTACTACTAATTTTAAGAAATCATTGATCAATCTGCAGAATTGCCAGGACGGAGCTCAAGTGGGGCCCTGAGATGTTGGGGGAAAAAGGGGTTTAGGGTCTAGGGTTCAGGGATTGGGGTTTAGGGCTTGGGGATTTGGCTTTAGGGATTAGGGTTTAGGGATTTGGGTTTAGGGTTAGGGATTAGGGTTTAGGGATTTGGGTTTAGGGATTAGGGTTTAGGGATTTGGGTTTAGAGTAATGGGGGTTTCCCAATATTACGGGTACCATTTTGGGGGTTTCTATAGTAAGGATTGCAGTATTCTGGGGTCTATATTGGGGTCTTCCTATCTTGCAAACTACCATGTTCTGCCACAGTGGATTCGGGGGCTTCTTAGAAGGCAGGCCCCAAGAGAAAGGAGATACCTTTAGCCTAAGCAACTGTAGGCATATTTATGCGTATCTGTTTATATATGTTCATGCGTGAATCCTCGTTTGGATCTGCTCAAAAACGCCCACTTGGCAGCCCACTCTTTGTGGGTACTTGCAGCTTGCTTTGGGATTCTGATACCGAAGGTTCAAGCATTCTGGGACCCCATTTTGAAGCACGTAGACGTATCTAGGCAACAGCTGCTATTAACACAAGGCCAGAAACCCGGGTGATTGGCTTCTCAACTGTCCATGGGCCTAACTAGGCTTACACATGAGCTGCTTGCAGAAGCCCGCTCCTTCATGACACGCAGTTGGCAGGTAAGAAAAAGCTGCAAGCGGATGCATTCAGATGTCCCCTGCAGCCCCAAGCTCAAGACGCAAAATCCCACAGATCACGTTAAGATCATACTCAGGACCATCAAGGAGGAGCCGGAGGCTGAGGCTGGGCGCAGCATTTCGGAGTAACCTCAAGGTTCCCGTTCTAGGAGGGTCAGAAACTCAGGGATGCAGCTGCCAGGCGTGTAGGCGCCTAGATGTTGCGTTTGTGAAGTGATGCCTTCACGTTTGGCTTCTTGTGCTGTAGAGCAGTGTAACCCTCCGCAGCGCTTCATGTCCGTAGGTCCGAGTTCCCAAGTGCTTGAAAGAAGGGCTGCTGGCGTCGCCTATGGCTCTTGTGCAAGTGTCCTTTGGCAAGTTACGAGGGATCTGGATGTTAGGCTTGGCTGAATCAAACAAATCTCATGTCACATCCCTAACTGGTAGCCCCTATCATCGGATTAGCCCATGCAGGTGGTGATGTTCCTTCTGGGCCCCTAAAGCCGTAGAGTCAAGTCTGAGAGTCAACCTTTTAACCCTTATAATCCCCTACATAATCCCAGTTTCCATTTCATTTTGCGTTTTCTTTTCAATTTGGTTCTCCATTACAGGGGGATAATATCACTAAACCCGAAATCCCATGAAAGACCTGGCCTGCGAGCCTTGCTCGAGGCTTGCGCCCCTTCCACAAAGCAAGCGGTTCGGCGCTCAGTCCGCTGCTCCACCCAGCTTTTGTAGAAAGAACAGATGCCGAAAACGCAGGAAGCAGAGGAATTGGAAGAAGAAGGTGAAGAGGAGGAGGAGGAAGAGGAAGAAGAAGAGGAGGAAGAGGAAGCAGAGGAAGAGGAAGCACATGAGGAGGCGGGCCTTTTTTGTATGCACAAGATAGATTCTTTGAGGCTATCCTTGACCATGATCTGATGCCTCTGGCAGGAGCACACCACTACCACTGATGAGCGACAGGAAGGCAGCTCAGCGAAGGCGTCAGCGGCCGAAGCCGAAGCCAAGCAGCGGAAGCAGCGTGAAGCCAAGGAGCAGGAGCTCAGAATACAGGCTGAGAAAGAACGGGAGGCTCAGGAAAAGCAAAAGCGCGAACGCGAAGAGCGCGAGCGCGCAGCTCGAGAAGCTCAGCAAGCACGGGAACAGGAGGCCAGGGAGCGTGAAGCCAGGGAACTCAAGGAAAGAGAAGAGGCAGAACAGGCAAAAAGGCTGCGCGAAGCTTCCGAAAAGGAAGCGCGAGATCTGCAAGCCCAGAAGGAAGCGCAAGCACGAGACGCTGAGAAGCAGCAGCGTCGAGCTTCCAGCGACCAGCGACGCGTTAGTCACAGCCGACGAGCGTCAGACGCGCAGGCCTCTTTTCAAGCGCTTTGGTCATGTAAAGGCAATTTGCTGTCTGATTGCAGCAAGATGCTTCAAGAAGCCAGTCGCTGCTTGGAGCCAATTGCCAGGTTAAGATGGAGAGCTCCAACGCGCAAAGGCACGTAGTTCTCAGGAAGAGTTGATGCTCACAACCCATTCTCGAATCACAGGTCTCCTGGAAGGGTTTGGGGGGCGTCTTCAAAGTGAGGGTTAGGAGACATACACTGCGGGAACTAGAATAACTAGAATCTAGAAATCTTAGAGACTTCATTGCAATCCCTACGTAACCAGGCAGTCCAGGCCACATACTTTCTAAGATCTAATTGCGTACTGCAGCCGCGCGGACATCACCCCTTTCTATGGCACCTTCAATTCAGACCAGCAAGCAGGGACGCGTGATTTCAAGAAGCTGCCAAAACCCTCAGCCCTGGGCCCTGACCACTTCATCCGTTGGCTGCTTCTTGGAGGTTGATGCGACTGAGTAGCTACTTATAACTGGGGTGTTAGCCTTACCTATGATCCCCGAACTGAACTTATATACGTTCCCCCAATCATAAGCAGGGTTATAGCCCCCAGTGCCAAAGTGGTTACTAAGTCCCATGAACCCTAAACCCTAGACCCCAGACCCTAAACCCATGAACCTAGCTCTCTGTTTTTGTTGTGGTTCGTGAGTTGAGTTTTGAACCTCGAAGTAGATTTTGGACACCGGCGACGGGGCCTCGCCTTTTACACGGTGCTGTTACCATCATTTCTGGGGATTCATGCCTTGGAGAAAATGTGCAAGCAACAACAAAACGCCTTAACCTTCAAGTAGCCTTGTTACGCAAACCTGTACGCCAGGCCGAGACCGTCTCGAACTGAAGCACAGGCAGGTCAGTTCAGGGTATAGCCTCGGACCTCTGAACCCTAAAGCCGTAAGCCTAAGCCCTAAACCTGGGAGGGCATAGGGTGTAGCTGTAGCCTTGGGAGGGTGTAGGGTTTGGGGAACTGAAGCGGGTACCGGGATATCTTGCACCACCTCGGGTCTATATAGATCGCCGTAACTCCTAGGGGTCCTGGGGTATCGAGGACTCAGGCCGAATCCAAAAGAGATTGGTCATACGCATTCCTGTCATGGAAATGCAGTTGACGTTGATTTCAATCAGTTCGCAGTACAGGTCTCCAAATTGCCCAGGCCACCCCCAAGGTAATTGCAGCCCTGGCCAACCCCGCAAGATCAACGGGATTCTCAAGTTCTGGGTCGCCAGGCACCCTGCAAGCAGTAAAATGCCAATGCCTTCCAGACGGGCGCAGGCAGCTCCGGCTTGGAGTGCGGAGAAACGAGTCTCCAGCGCATCCGCCACTAGCAAGGCCAGCATCCTGTCATGGTTATGAGAGGGATTATTGAGAAAGGGGATGAAAGGGGGTTGTTCTAGGACCACAACACAGAACATCAAGACTTGCGCAGTAATACCCATGGTTTTCCACACCGTTCGCCACGTGGAACAAAAGCTTCTTTCAGCCCCATTGTAAAAGGGCCTGCTGCTGCTCTAGTAGTTGAAAGTCTCCCCAGAAAAGCTCGATGAAGTGCAGGCCCACCCGCGAGCACGAGCATCTTCAGGGCTCAGCCAGCGATCCGGAAACGGCGGGCCTGTGCGGCAGGACACCCGGGATCTAGAAGGCTTGAGACGCTGGATGGGACCCATGCAATCCGAACAAGGCTTGCAAAGATGTAGCAGGCATGGTGGAAACTGATGAGCAAAATATGCTGTGCCAGCTCAGAGGATCCAGCAGCACTCAGAAGCGTGCAGCCAGCTGAGGCCGCCAAGCTCCGCCAAACTAATGTAGGGGCCTAAACCTAAACAAGGACCACCACCACGGTCCCAGTTTCCTTTTATGAACATGGTATAGGCGGTAGACGGTATCTCAAATAATAGATTTCAAATTGACGTTGGTACAGTGATGGTCTCAGGCCCTTCCAGTCACTAGACTGCAGTGGTTGCTACCATGCTCCGTTAGACTTCCGCAGCCCTAAACCCTCAACTCTAGACCCTAAACTCTAAACCCTAAATCCTAAACCTCCCTAAACACCCCTAAAACCTATGAACACTAAACCGTGTGTGATGCTTCTCGGGGCCAGGCTGTGAAGAGTAGACGGAGCACCTTTCGCCTCGGCGGCCAGGCGCACCTACTTGAGCTACAGGTTTTACATATTGGGGTTATATATAGGTTTTGGGTTTAGGGTT